CCCGTTACCTTGCTCTCGCGCCTTGCCCGCGTGAGCCTGCGCTGCTGATTGTTTTTGTTCATGCTGTCTGACTCGGCGGTGCTGACGGGCAATTTATGCAGGTCTCGCCGCGCCCATTCTGCTGGCTATAATGTGCCCGATAACTTCGTTGATTCCCACGCCTAGCAATCCTCGACTGAAGTCGCATGTCATTTGGCCGCCCTCGTCTTCTAGTCCGTTGATTTGTTCGGCCTGTTTCCTTCTTCGGTTAACTTATCGGCTCGCCTGTTGTTGTTCTGGGCATCGGGCCCTACTGCCTGACCAGCCGCCACCTCAAGCCTGGTCTGCCCAGTTGTTAGACAAATTACACGCGTGTCCCCAGTGACTTGCCAACTCTCAAGTTTCCGCGGTTTCACATATGTCAGTACTTATGGCCAGCGGGATTCTCTCGTTGGCAGATCGTTCGCTTGTCTACGATGTCCCAGCGTGCCGGATTAATCTCATATTTTCCTCAGGGCCTCATAGCTCCCTGCTCAATACTATGTGAATTCAACGCCCAGCGCCGCCCCGCCCCGCAAGGTGGTCGTCGTCTGAGGCTGACGCCGCGCCCGTTGCGAAGGCTCTCTTGCGGGCGTTTTATATATACATATATATATATGGAGAGAGAGAGAGAGAGAGAGAGAGAGAGAGAGAGAGAGAGAGAAAAAAAAAAAAAAAAAAAAAAAAAAAAAAAAAAAAAAAAAAAAAAAAAAAAAAAAAAAAAAAAAAAAACTTGTCTAACTTTCTCTGGAAGCTGCGTCGAATCGCAGCCGCGCCGAAGACGATCTGGCCTGAACTCTGCGACCCTGTTGTAATTGCAACCGCTCAATGGCTTTTGCTCTGCGCTCGGTGCAGCGAGGCTTGCGGTCACCGTCGCCCCTGGTAGTGGCGCGGCGCCCATGGCATCCCGGCGTTGCCTCTGCATTTCAAATATATGTCCTAGCTTTGCGCGGCCGTGCTCCTTGCCGCGCGGGGACAGACTCGGGCTCTCTCAGAGTCAACTGGCAACGAAAAGATGGATGCGATCAGTCTGGGCTACGCTTCGTTCCCCATCGCGCCGGGGCCTGGCTGCCGCGGCTCGCCCCGCGGCGCGCGGCTTCTCGGGGGGCCGCCTTTCTTCGTCGCTGAGTCTGCGGCGATGCGCTGGTGATCTGACCCCCTTGGTTAGGGCATGTTCCCGCCTCTTGTCGCGTGCCCCCCTATGGTTCCTGTTTCTGGACAACGCAACGCGTCCTCCGAATTTTGGCAGCGCTCCGTTGGACCTGCGCCCGCGACGCCGCCCGCGCGCGGCCCCGCCGCCCACGCCGACAGTAGATTCGCTCATTCGCGAAGACGAATGCAACGCCATCCGCGGCGTTGGATGGCGGTTGCCGGTGAGCTTGGTCCATGCGCTTTGCGCCCGCAGCGATCTTCTTCCGAATTCTCGTTTGACCTCGACTTGCCCGCGGCTCCCCTGAGAGCGGCAACGTGGGATTCGCCGCTCTTCGCAATGACTCTGGATGAACAACTGCCAGTTCCTTTCTCGATTGCCACCCTTACACATTTACACTTGGATTTCCTGCGGAGCAGGGCCAGCGCCGGGTTGCGTGGCGCGGCACTTCTGCAGCCTCTCCCCCGCGTTCTCCCACGCCCCCCCCCGCGGGCATCTGCTCTGCAGGCGCGCGTAGCCAGCTGAAACAACTGGCGTTTCATCTGGGCCGGCCAGGCCCCTGATTTCGCGCCCCCTCCTCTTGGCCGTGCTTCGCGCGCGGCGATGGCGCCAGTTGCGGCGCGGCTGATGGCTGACACTGCGGTCGCCTACTTTTCCTTTGCGGGGGGCTGGGGCGAAGGTCGGGCGCCTCTTTCGCACTTTTCTCGGGTTCCCCACGTCAGACTCGCCCTCAACTTCGCCCCTGTCGCTCTTGCCTTCGCCGTCGCCCTCTCGTCGATCCTCGCCCCCAATGCTCTCGCAACTAGCACTTGCTACTGGCTCGCTGGGGCGCGCGGGGCCCACCGGGGGGGGGCCATCCCTGCCCGGGAAAATCGCGCCTTCTGTTTGCCTCGCCCACGCGTTGCACCGGCTCCTGTTCTTTCCCTTCGGGGGCTCGAATGGTGAATTCGAGCGCCCCGCTGCGACCGTGGATTGCCGATCTCTCGCCCGGAGCGTTGCCCCGGGTAACTGCGCGACCTTCCGCGCGCGCCCCGACCCGAACGAGCTCGCTGCGATCTCCTGCATGTGCGCGCGCCGTCCCCGATGGTTTCCGAGCGCCCGCAACTTGCATGAGCTCGCGACCTCGCCCCCTGGTTCTTGATCGCGGTCCTGTGGCAGCGCTGTAGCGACGGCCGTCGCTGGAGGTCCCCGCGCGTTTAACTGGAAACCGCGCCAACGTTCAGCGGCCCAACTGCGCCGCGCGCCCTCGACTCGCGGCGGCCGCCGCAGCCTCCGCGCAAGATTCCAGATCGTCTCCAGGCGCAGGGCCCCCCCGCCCCCCCTCGCTTGCGAATTAGTTCAACCTATCCGAAGTCACCTGCGCGATCGCTGCTTCTGCGCATCCAAGGGCCTCGCCGCGGCCGCGTTTCTGGCGCGCGATTTTTCAATGCTGGATGAGCTGTCTCACTTCGCGCGCGAGCCCCTGCTGCATTCTGACTGGCGCGCCGCGCGGCAGCCCTAGTGGACCGGGGCGCCCCCGAGCAGCGGCGCAACGTCCAGGGCCCATCTCCGACTGGGGCGAGCCGTGGTCACGGGGCCCCTGCCCATTGCCCCCCTGTCCGACTTCGTCGGTTTCCCTGGCGCAGTTCGCCGCGATGCGACACTTTTGGCTCCTTTCTGTTCTCGCCCCCGCTCGGGGCCCGTGGCCCCGACCGCTGGGCTTGCCACCGGGTGGTCCAGAGTGCTTGCCAGCTTCCTTGTAGGAACTGCGGCTGCCCTTGTTGCGTCCCTTCTGCCAGCCTGGATGCCCATTCATGTTGCTGCTGTTCTTGCCAATGCCTTTGTCCCTGCCGCCTCGTGCCGCGTGGCCCATCCCCCCGCCTCTATGGCATGCTCCGTTCCCCCTGCCTTTGCCATTGCTGCCCGCATCTCCTGCGCCCCAACGTTGACTGTCGATCCAATCGAGTCCGTGGTCTTCGTCCATGGGCCACCACTTACCATCTTTATCGTGATCCGTGCCAACTCCCTGGCGATGCCCCGATCCATGGCGCTCTTCCTCTTTCCCGACTTCTATGCGTCACTGTTCTGCGCGTCAGCGCCCGCCAATGCATTTCCGAACCCAGCCCTCCCACCACGACGGCCTCTTCTGATATATCCAGTTTGCTAAGGATTCGGGCGGCTTGAAACATTCCTGCTGCCAGTCATCACCCCCCCCCCGTGCAGGTCGCTATGGTTCTCAAGACCTCGCAACTTTTGCTTCGAAAGGTACACGCGGTTGATAATATTTGCGGCATTGTCAAGCTTTTTCTACTCCTGCGTTCCACTGCTCGAATCGAACTGATGCGTCGCTGACCTTCCTGGGTCTGTCGGGATCCATGGCCGAACGCATCTTGGCCGATAGAGCCATTCCCGCCACTGCAGAGCACGACTTGTGAATCTCCATGCGTGCAATCAATCCTTCGCTTGCCCTGAGGGTTTCTAGTTTGCCCCGTGCCTCGACGCTCTCTAAGTTTCGGCCAATATGTAGCATAGGTCCGCATCCAGCTTGTGGCTATCATCATCGACCAGCACATATCCATCGCCACGTCCATATTACTCCCATTTTTCTCTGGTGATGCTCGCTGTCCTCGGGTACCGTCAGTACTCCATTTCCCCTTCTTATGTTGTTACCCTCTTCGCTCGGATCTGGTAGAGGCAATCCCAAGGCTTCCAATGTTGAGTTCTGTAACCTGAGAACCCAACGATGCCCATTGCTGACTTGTACCAGGGCGCTAAACAATCTGCCATTTCGTTGTCGATATGTCGCCCGGTCCCGGTTGAAGACCTTCAACGATTAAATTGCCGTTTAACTTGCCCACCGGCCTTTGTACGCTTTGCTTTGCCAGATCCCACATTCTGGGCGAACATCGTATGTGTGTTCATAGTGTCGTCGATCATTTTTCAAACTCGGCCAATCGCGCTTTCTCTTGCGTGGCTTCCATATCGTGCCTGTTATCACGCCTAATGGTGCTCAGTAGCGCTGTGTTAGATGTCCAAACAGCCTCATTCGTGGCATCGCGTGCTCGCTGGGCAAGTCTTGGTTGCCAATGCGGTTTTGCTTTTCACAGCAGTTCGTCATGGCGTCATGGTTACCAGGTTGGACGAACTCGGAATCACCTTGGTTGCGCACGGAAATAAGTTAAGTCCAAAGTTGGCGAGGGTGTGTTCTATCCATTATGGTGCGTGGTGGATATTGCTGCACATGCTTTCGTTGCCATAACCTCGCTCTGCTACAATGCAAATTTTACAGAACGATGGCAATGAGGATTGATCTCTGTGTTGCATTATGTGGTCGACGGTTACGTACAAAGCTACACCGCCTGACGGCGGTTACTATTACTTGAGCCACATGCCACACTTTGTACAGTTACCTGTCAGTCTACATTGGAAGGCATCCTCCTCCTCCTCCCCTTCCTCCTCATCCTGTCCATCCTCTTCCTTATCCTCATTATCACGCTTTTCCTCCTGCCTTCTGCATTATGCCTGTTGCCGCCTGCCTTCTCCTCCTCCTCCTTCCTCCCTCCTCCGTCCTCCTTTCTCAATCCTCCTTCCTCCTTCTTCTTTGCTCCTTCATCCTTCCTTCTTCCTCCTTCTCTCTCGCCCTCCTTCCTCCATCCTCCTTCCTCCTTCCTCCTCCTTCCTCCTTCCTGCTTCCTCCTTCCTCCCTCCACCCTTCTTCTTCTCCGTTCTCCCTCCTCCCTCCTCGCCCGCCTTCTCGCCCGCCTTCTCCTCCTCCTTTTCCTCCTCCTCCTCCTCCTCCTCCTCGTACTCCTCCTCCTCCTCCCCCTCCTCCTCCTCTCCGCCGTGGCCAGGC